CCGTTTTACCTTTGAAGTTGGGACAAAATCGAAACAAAGTCGTCTTGTTTATTCGACAAAATTTAGGTTTCCTCAAAAAACGACCAAAGAAAGCAAAAGCTTCTTCAAAATTTGCGGATTTTTCCTTTTTAGACCAAACAGTTTCAAGCAATCGCATGCGCTAAAGCAATATGTTCCGATGACTTTTTTTATTTCATTTAAATTCCGGTTTCTTCACTTTCAGGTGAATATTTCCAAACAGAACAACGCGTTTTTCCTAACGTTTCACTGCAAAATACTGGCAAACTAAGAGTATTTTATGCAAAAAAGGTAAAAGATGGATTTTACGGGCAAAGTCGTCGTCTCTACAGTTTGGTCTTCTTTATCGTCTTTTTCAAATACCCGTTTTACCTTTGAAGTTGGGACAAAATTGAAACAAAGTTGTCGTGTTTTTTTACGACAAAATTTAGGTTTCTTCAAAAAACGACCAGAGAAAGCAAAAGCTTCTTCAAAATTTGCGGATTTTCCCGTTTTGGACCAAACAGTTTCAAGCAATCGCATGCGCAAAAGCAATATGTTGACGGCTTTTTCTTGTTAGATGTGAAAATCCCGTCTTGGGCCATGAATTATGACCCATTAACTACTGAGTTAGAACCCATTAACTCAGAGAGGGGCAACAACTCAATAGCGCAACTCAACACAGTGTTACGCAGGCCTAGTCCGACATGGCGCAAAGAGGTTTAGTCAATCACCCTGTAGATATGTAGGCAATCGACCGCATTCATCCGTCCGTTAACACTCCACATCATTTGTCCAGTAAATGTAGTCTTGAGGGCTACAGAGGCAAGCGGTCGAAGTCTTAGGGAAAACCCCCAAGAGGAACCTCGCTATTTGCACAGATCAGACGGCGGGTTCTTCAAACAGCCCAAACTGAAGTTCTGGAAGCCGCTGCAATTGGTGGCAAACTTCATCATCTGCCTCAACTGTTCCAGAGTTTTGAGGCACAGCACCACGCAACACTGCTCGCCCTTCTCCTTACAGCCCTCATTCTGCTGGACCACGCCCAGCAGGGCCTGTTTGAACATGTTCTCGCCGCATCCCGATGCGTCCGGGCACTGGGCGTCACACTTGCAGCCGTTAGAAGCAGCATTGGAGCAGTTAGTAGTGGCGATGGAGGAAGCGCTTTCCTCGGGAGGAGCAGGGTTGCAGCTTTGGCAGTTAGCGTTATCTTTGCACTTACAGTTGTCGCACGTGCAGATTTCCGCCTCCGAAGTGAGCGTCTTCAGGGCGTCCGATTTGGGGCGGCTGTTGAGGGAGGCCAGATATCGGTCGACGTTTTCGATGTCCTCCACTACAGCCACGCGCGGGTCTGGAGCGATGGGGGCGGCGCTGGGCTGCACGGGCGGCAGGTTCAGGTAGGACTGAACCGCCGTCGAGATGGCTGTGAGCGGGTTTTCGTTCAGCCGCTCTTGGAAAACATCGAACTGCCCCACGTTGCTGAAGTTGCTCACGCCCCAAGCACTGGAAATCTCCTCCTGAGTGGCCAGGTTCACTTGGAGGCCCTCACTGGACAAGGCCTTCTCCTTGTTGACCAGCTGGGGATGGTTCGGCACGATCGCCTTCACGCTGAGGATCTTCACATTGGGACTCTCGTTCCCCAAGGGAAACGGCCCCTGGCCGAACGACTCCCCAAAATCGTACAAATTAATGCCGGCATTCTCAAACTCGGTAATCAGCGAATTCTCCTCCAAACCAGCGGACGGTTCATTAATCAGCGTGTCCTGTTTGTCCACGTTCTCCGTGCCGATGTTGAACGGCAGCTGCACGTCTACAGGCTCAGCAGTGTTAACAGTGGCGTAGTTCTTCAGCCCATTGGCCATCTCGAACTGGGAGCTGAGATCGTTTTCGATCACAGCGGCGAATTTCGGTTTGCTGTCCAGCTGCATGTGGCTCACCTGCTCGGTGATTGGCTGCACTGGCAGGCTGTAACTGCCGTCTATAGTGGCCGGGAACGTGTATGGGCTGTAGAGGCTGTCGAAGTACTGGCTGGCGTCTAGCGCTGGCGCCTGGAAGGCGGGGTTGTTGGCTGTTTGACCTGCAAATAACAGTCGAGGGTGGTAATTATCCAGAACATCTTTTCTTAGTGGAGTTAAATGCGGAAGTTGTGCCGAACCTTTAGGGCACGACACTGGTTTAGACGCAAAACACTCTCAACTTGTTGATTGATTAGTTTTTGGTCGAAAATCTGTGTCGTGCCCGAAGGGCTCGGCACAACAAACGCATTAGATAGTGTTTAGTGCCGATGTTGTGCCGAACCTTTCGGGCGCGACACTGGTTTGGACGAAAAACACTCTCAATTTGTTGATTGAGCAGTTTTTGGTCGAAAATCTGTGTTGTGCCCGAAGAGCTCGGCACAACAAACGCATTAGATAGTCTTTAGTGCCGATGTTGTGCCGAACGCTTCGGGCGCGACACTGGTTTGGACGCAAAACACTCTCAACTTGTTGATTGAGCAGTTTTTGGTCGAAAATCTGTGTCGTGCCCGAAGGGCTCGGCACAACAAACGCATTAGATAGTCTTTAGTGCCGATGTTGTGCCGAACCCTTCGGGCGCGACACTGGTTTGGACGAAAAACACTCTCAACTTGTTGATTGATCAGTTTTTGGTCGAAAATCTGTGTCGTGCCCGAAGGGCTCGGCACAACAAACGCATTAGATAGTGTTTAGTGTCGATATTGTGGCGAACCTTTCGGGCGCGACACTGGTTTGAACGCAAAACACTCCCAACTTGTTGATTGATCAGTTTTTTGCCAAAAATCAGTGTAGTGCCCGAAGGGCTCGGCACAACAAAGGCATTAGATAGTGTTTAGTGTCGATGCTGTGCCGAACCTTTCGGACGAGACACTGGTTTGGACCCAAAACACTCTCAACTTGTTGATTGATGAGTTTTTGGTCGAAAATCTGTGTCGTGCCCGAAGGGCTCGGCACAACAAACGCATTAAAGAGTGTTTAGTGTCGATGCTGTGCCGAACCTTTCGGGCGCGACACTGGTTTGAACGCAAAACACTCTCATCTTGTTGAGTGATCAGTTTTTTGCCAAAAATCAGTGTAGTGCCCGAAGGGCTCGGCACAACAAAGGCATTAGATAGTGTTTAGTGAATATGTCGTGCCAAACCCTTCGGGAACGACACTTGTTTGTACGAAAAACAGTCTCAACTTGTTAATTGATCAGTTTTTTGCCAAAAATCAGTGTAGTACCCGAAGGGCTGGGCACAACAAAGGCATTAGAAAGTGTTTAATGTCGATGTTGTGCCGAACCCTTCGGGCGCGACACTGGTTTGGACGCAAAACACTCTCATCTTGTTGAGTGATCAGTTTTTTGCCAAAAATCAGTGTGGTGCCCGAAGGGCTCGGCACAACAAACGCATTACAGTGTTTAATATTTATGTTGTGCTGAGCCCTTCGAGCACGACACAGGTTTGGACGCAAAACACTCTCATCTTGTTGATTGATCAGTTTTTGGTCAAAAATCAGTGTCGTGCCCGAAGGGCTCGGCACAACAAACGCATTAGATAGTGTTTAGTGTCGATGCTGTGCCGAACCTTTCGGGCACGACACTGGTTTGGACGCAAAACACTCTCAACTTGTTGATTGATCAGTTTTTTGCCAAAAATCAGTGTAGTGCCCGAAGGGCTCGGCACAACAAACGCATTATAGTGTTTAAGGCCGATGTTTACGTTTCTCGTAAGAGAAAATGGTGTTAAATCGGTAACAACTTCCCAAAAAAATCATAGAAAACGGCAAACTAGTGAGTTTTTCCGATGAGTTCTCGCAGAGCGCTTGTTTACTGTTTATTCATCTTATCGAGAGAATTTCCAGATGAAATAGGAAAAATATTTGCCCACATTTATCTATTGAATGTGTAATAACCGATTGTGTGATTGTCTGCAAGGTTTCCTTATCATCCACCAGCCAGTTGTATTTATTATGCGACACACACAAAGCTTTACGGTGTTTCGGTAGTCAATAAAATGGCATGTTGCTTCGCACGTTTATGATAAAACCGGCCATAAAAACCGGAAAAACCCGCCAACTTACCACTAACATCCAGAGGATCGGCGGCCGCCTGCTGCCCCCAGTCCACGTCGCCCTCGAAGTTTTCGAAGTAAAAATTCTTTTCAAACTCAAAGTTGCAGTTTTCGGCTTTCACAATCTGAGCGACTTGCGGCTCAGGAGCGGATCCGCCACTGTTCTGAACGGTGCCTTTTTGGTGCGTCTTAATATGGGACTTTAAGCTGTGCGACGTGGCAAAG